ACTTGTCTTTAAACTTTAGTCATTAAATGCCAAGCTTTGCATTAAACCCAAAATATTTCTGAAGGGTCTGGTACAACTAGACTATAGTTGGGGTACAACTGTTCTGTCAGCATCTTAAAAAGTGTGAACTAAGAGACTTAAAATATTTCTTCTGCATATTTTGACTGTAACTCTACAATAATACAATTTATCAGTAAGAGAAACAGGTTTTCAAAAAACCAAGAGTTTTCCCAGTTCAGGAAAGCACGTAGCTGATCCAAAGTCCACCACTAGCAAGGGGCAGGATTGAGTGCTCTGAGGAGCATGAGCAATACTTGCAGCTTTTAATCCCTACAGACTTTGCAGCAGTGGATAATTATCACTATGACCCCAATGTATAGATGAGGAAACTGAGTCACCGAGGGATGAAGTGCTTTGCCCAGAGAGCACAGTGAGTCAATAGGGAGGCTGGGAATAGAGCATAGAATTCTCTGTGTTATCCATTGGAGCCCTCAGATAATATCATTTTATAAATGCTCTGTCTTTGTAAAGACTTCAGCACTATAATTATCTTCCCCGGACTCTCATGGAAACAAGATATTTATAACTCCATTAAGCCTTTCCTAGTAATTTTATGATCAAAGTGAAAAAAAAAAAAAAAGAATAATGCTGTGCCAATCAGTCGCATGCCCAATGTCACTCAGAACAGCCCCATGGTGAGAGCTTCTCCTTGCTTGGTTCAGTGAGATGCTCGCTGTCTTTTGGATGCCTTTCTTGTGTCTGATTCCCCTTCCCCTGCGTGCCGGTGCAGAGGAAATATTTTTTGCCGTGTGATGAGCCACACAGTTAGAATGTACCAAATAACTGGAAACGATTCTTGCTGCCAATAAAGCCTACTGGTTTATACTATAAATGTGACCCTTTAAAAAAAAATATTTTTCCTAAAAGCGCTTAACATTTGCCAGTTTCACCTAAAATGAGCAAAGCCACCTAAAATGAGCAAAGTATTTCCACTCACCCTTGTGTATCTTTCAAACTGCAACACGGAGGCCAAGACTAACTGCAAACAACGGGCTAGTAACCGAGGCACTCGGAGCCTGGTTCTGCAAAGCCCTCAGGCATCTGCTTAAATTGAAATCCATTCTTATTCTGCAAATCCATCCAAGTGTTTGCTTAACCAGAACACACGCCTAAGTCGAGTTTTGCTTGGCACAGCCTTAGGATTAATTTCTGTTCGAAAGGAAGCCATTATTTTTAGCTCACCTCTCAATGGCTGCAGCCATATCTTTTAGTCCCAGATATCTATTTTCAGGAGGCATATGTGCTAAGCCTAAACCTCTGCTTTCTGTGACAGTCAGTGGCACAGAAAAGATAGCGAATAGTATAGAAAGAGGCCACTTGAAATACTTGACTAGTAAGTGCAGATGAGAGGGGCCTTCCATGAGGCTCATTAGAGGCAAGACATAAAAGAAGTTGTGATTATTCTGGGAGGTGGCTGCTGATTCCCGGGGTTATCTCTTCACGTGCTGACTGGAGAAGATTCATTTGCAGTAGGTCAACAAGTTTAACTCAAAATGTTATGATGAGATTTCTGTCAAATATTATATTTCCACAGGAAATTTATTATTTCAGGGAAAATGTTTATGCTTTCCTCAAAAGTATCAAAAGCAGTTTGGCTGCAATGGGATACTTTCCATGTTTTTTTTCCTGAAACTCCTCTTTAATATGCAATAAAATTCAAGCTTTATTAAAGGAAATTTAATTTAAAATAGTTTTATTGCTCATTTCTCATAACTCTAGATTTCCTCTCTCTGGTTAAGAACACTCCTACCACTTGTTTCACTGGCTCAGACGTGGGAGTTACCTATCCCAAGACAGAGGAAAACCAGCAGAGTCCTGCCCAGTCCCAACCGTGGGGTTTGCTCAGATAGATCTGGCTTCTGTATGGAGGAGGAACAATTGCACTTGCCAAGATGTTTTTTGAGGGATGCTCCACTGCACTCCCTTTAACAGCCATGCTTCATACAGAAGGTAGAAATACAAAGATAGGTCAAAATGCATTATTTTTTTTCCTCTGCTTGGGCTTAAAAATCTGCTTCATACACCCCCATGGTAGTTGTATGAATATAAACCTCATCCTGGCTCCTGCTACTGCTATGTAGAAAAGCTTTCTGACAGCAGGGAGAGACAGCTCAGAGGACAAATCCCCCATGGAAATTCAGCACTGATGTATTTAAAAGCAGACTGACAAACACTTGAAGAAAAATAACTTAGATGCTGTTACCCCACTCCTGAGCAGGGTATTGTGATGACCCTTCACACCCGTCTAACTCTGTCCCACTGGGAGAGTGCAGTCTTTCCCTTCCCCAGAAGCTTCTGGATTACTTCCAGGTAGAAGACCCCATTTGGCTCCATCACTGGACCACCACATTGTTTTACTAATCCACCTCCCTTGTTTTTTCTACCTAGGAAAGTATGGCAAGTGCACAGAGCTGTCATTCACTACAGGGCAGCCACACAGTGATGGGATCCCCAAGTCAAGACCACTTCTCTTCACCTACTCGTTTGGGATCTTTCTGGCTGTCAAGGACAGGTCTGTCTTTCCTGAAAAAAAGAACAAATATTTTCTTGCCTGCTAGGGAGTTGCTAAATCTGGTAGCCTGACAGAGGTGAGGCTGCCACAGCTCCCTGCCCCTGGGTCCCACCTGCAGCACAGCTGTGCATGGCTCCCAGCAGGCATGTGCACAAACACTCAGGTGTAACGTGTGTGCTGGTGTCCAGCACAGACAGTGACACCCAGCACTCACGGGCAGCACCAACAGCCTCACCCTGCTCCCTGTGCTGGCCAGAGACACACCCACACACAGACACACCCACACAGGCAGACACACAGACAGACACAGACACAGAGAGGTCTCCGTCAGCCCCCAGGCCCCTCAGGCTCTGCAGCAGCTGGTCTGAATCCCCTGGTCCCTCCAGCAGAAGTCTCGTGCCACCAGCAGCTGCTCCTCTCCTGCATCCCACGATGTGCCCTGTACCCCCAGGCAGTGTTCCCCCTTCAGCCCCAAATTTGGGAGCTGCTCCCGCTGTCGCTGAGGGGTGTCACCACAGGGCACAGAGGTGACACCCATCACCCTGGAGGTGTTGGGCAGGGCATTGCCCAAGGTCCTCACCTGCTTTTGCTCCTCTGTGTATGTGGCTTCTGTCACCCACCCTAACATGGCCCATGGGCTGCTCTTGCAGGGTGTGGAGGGAGGCAGAATGTAGTTCTCAGCAGACACAAGATCACACCAAGTCTGAAAAACTCCTCAATATGCAGCAACTACACCAGAATGGTGCTCCTGTTCAGCACAGGTCAGAAGGCACGGGCAGTGCTGTTTGTAAATCCTCACGGGTGGCTTCAGATGCCTTTTAGTCATTCTAGCCAAACTGGTGCTCACCTTCAGGTTATGGTTTTCTTTAAGGACCTTTTACTTTAAATTGAAGTTTGCCATTAAAGAATTTTGCTTTTTTGAGTTACCTCTCCTGGAAAACCAAACCTAACCAAACCACACACACACAAAACCAACCAACCAACTGACCAACAAAAAAACCAAAAGTATTTGAACAGAAAAACAAAAAGAAACGCACACTTGGGAAAAACTCATCTTCCCAAAACTGTGAGATACCTGAACACATTTCCAATGTCCCATACTGTGTACATTTCTAAATTTTAAGATTAAAATAAGCACTTTGGGGTAATGGCCACACATGAAAGCCAAGGGATAGTTTTCATTTAGGGAAGAGATTCTGAAACAGCTGTTAGGAGTGCAACTCTCGCAGAGTTAAAGAGCTAAATTAGAAGTTGGATGAATCATTTTCCAGCCATATAAATCATTAAAATTTGTTAAATTGTTGGATCCAAAACCAAGGTAAGCCAACTGTTTAATGAATAATGCAACGTGTTATTTTCCTCTGGATGTTATTCCCATAGTTTTTTCTTCTAAAATGATGAATAATCTTTACGTAAAAGACTAAAAATACATGCCAGCCATTATCACGTGTGGAATCTGACAGCAGTGAAAGTGTTTCTATCTGAACTTATTTGACAGTTTCTCTGAACAACTTTTACTAGGTATTCTTTATAGGACTAAATATTTTTAGATTTGTGTAATATGTTCTATAAGTAAGCTGTATTAAAAGGAAAGAAAAAATGCTTTAGATATCAGACAAGCAGCCTAAGGAATAGCAGTAGCTTTTCTTGCAATCACCTTTCACTTGATGCTGAACATCACGATCAGACTTTCACTGCATGTTCATGCAAGGACAGACTCTGATGCAAGCTCAGTAGAAATTCTAGTGGAACAAGACCCCAGTATTTCCCACACTGGCATTTTTTTTCTGTTACAAATGCATTTTATTTGCAAAATTTGGCACCAATTGTAGGCAGAGCAGGCCAGATCTTCACCTGCCTACCCGGGCAGTGATACCTAAGTCATGCTAGTTTATTGTGGCCGTGGATCTGACCTGGAGGCCTCTGCTCAGCCCACTGCTCTACTGTGTGCACACCAGCACCAGGGAGCTGGATGGAGTCACCAGTCTGATTTCTTAGCACAAGGCAGCACTTTGGTCTTGGTTCAAAGGGACCTGCAAGAAGAGGTGATCTGGCCCAAGGAACCTGCTTTTCTGTTGGTTCTAGCACAACTTCCATGCAGGATTTCCACATGCAGCAGCTTTTTTGTCCTGAATGTCTGGTTGGTGAATTTAGTATATCAGATTTGTGGACAACTAGCCCACACATTATGAATGCAAGAGGAGAGCTTGATCTTGAAATACTAGGAGGTAGGCAATCCAGTGAGGAGCACAGACACAACTGTACCTGTATGGCATACCACAACACAGAGGATGAACAGCAGCTACAGCTGAGATTAAGAACTGTTAAGGCAGAGAACCTATCTGAAGATGCAGGATAGGGAAGCCACTCAGTGGTCCATCCATCCAGAGGTGGCTGGCAAAGGAAGGTGAGTTAGGCTGGGCAGCTTTTATTCCCTGCATTTGTACTGGACCCGGAACGGTGCCGCGGGTTGCTGAGTCCCCACCAAATGCAAAGGGCTCTGCAAAAAGAAGAAAATCGGTAAAAACATTTAAATTAGCCCAGTTAATGGAATTATTATCATGCTTTAACATTAAGATCTACACATTACGGTGCCCAGCCACTGATTTACACACGTATTAGAATCACACCACATAGAATTATAAACATTGTAATCCCTTTGCTTTTCTATAATCAGTTTGCCCTATTGCAAATAACGTAGTGACCTTGCCATCAAACTGAACCTTGATTCTTGGCTATATCTTATCAAAATACTACACACTGTTAAATTGTGTTGCTGCTTTCATCTGAGTAAGGTGCATCCCACTCCTTCTGCAGCAAGCAGTTTTAACCAGAGTTCTGTAACGAAGGGAAAGCGCTCACCAGGGACAGCAGAGAGTGTGTGCTGGGAGAGCACTGCGGGTGCTGCTCCGATTCCCTGAAAGCATTCATAATCCAGTTCCAGATTCATTGGCTTTGTGAGGGGCAGAAAGCCATTATAAAATCTTTTGTAATGTTTAGGCAATGAGACAAAATACTCTTGTAGGCACCTGCTTGTATAGAGAGTGCAGGTCCACTGGGTTTGCTGAGTCAAAACGAAGGAGAACGTTGTTGGGTGACAACAGCCCCAGGCAGTGCTGCAGGCCTGGGGAGGAGTGGCTGGAAACTGCCCGCAGAAAAGGGCCTGGGGGTGCTGATCAACAGCTGCCTGAATGTGAGCCAGCTGGCCAAAAAGGTCAAAATCATCCTGGCTTCAATCAGCGCTAGTGTGGCCAGTGGGAGTAGGGCAGGGATCATCCCCCTGGACTCAGCACTGGGGAGGCCACACCTCAAGTACTGGGTTCAGTTTTGGGCACCTCACTACAAGAAGGCCATTGAGGGTCTGCAGCATGTCCAAAGAAGGGCAACAAAACCCATGGAGGATCTAGATAATAAGTCCTGTGAGGAGCAGCTGAAGGAAACTGGGGTTGTTAAGCCTGGAGAAAAGGAGGCTAAGGGGAGACCTTATAACCCTCTACAGCTCCCTGACAGGAGGTTGTAGTGGGGTGGGGGTTGGTCTCTTCTCCCAAGTAATAAGTGATAAGACAAGAGGAAATGGCCTCAAGTTGCACCAAGGGAGGTTTAGGTTGGATATTAGGAAAAATTTCTCCACTGAAAGGGTTGTGAGGCATTGGAACAGGCTGTGCAGGGAGGTGGTGGAGTCCCCATCCCTGGAGGTGTTTAAAAGCCATGGAGATGTGGTGCTGAGGGACATGGTTTAGTGGTGACCTGGCAGGGCTGGGTTAACAGCTGGACTCAACAATCTTAAAGGTCTCTTCCAACCAAAATGATTCTATGTCTTTGTGACTCTGTAAGATCAAGTTACTCACTATATGTTTTATTAACACTCCTACCCAAATTTTGCTTCATTCTACACAGTCCCAGCTGAGCTTGGTTGTTAGCTGAGGGTGATGAATGAGGGACATAAAGATGGGGAATGCTATATAAACATAGGGACCATTTACCTCCTTTGGTACTGCATCCAAAAGCACAAATTCATATTTGTATAGGAATAGCACAACAAACAACTGGATTTCCATGATAGCAAACCACCTGCAAGAAAAGGGAGGAAAATGTTGGCCATCCAGCCTGACCATCACACCTGTGATATCATCAGATAAGAAACAAGGTGTCTTGGACACATTTTACATTCCATGCTTCAGGTCTGCCTGAAAGTTCCTCTTAATGGGGAAGATACAGTGTGGCTTTGCTGAGCTTGGCTGCTCAGTAAGGAGCAGGAGTGGAGGGGCTGCCCCTTCTTTCTGGTGAAACGTTAGACTGACAGCATCCCTCTGACACCCTATTTTAAAACAGCCCCTTATCATGATGGTTTTTTTCCACTGTGTAAACATTTATGTTCTTCTAATGCTTGCTGACTTGAAATAGCTTCATAGGAGTGAGAAGACAGTCAAATATAGAAAAGGCTATATGACTAATTGTGCTATATAAAGTTATATAATACAGCTGGGAGCCTGATGACATCAGAGTAGCTGTGACAGCAGGGGTTATTATTTAATGCATCAGCATCAGAATGCAGGACGAGACCCAAGGGCATGAGGGTTCTTGGTAACACTCTGAAGAAAGGTCTCTCTTAGTCAACCTGGAGATTTCAGGTAATTGCAGGTGAACACCTCTAGGCTATTCTTGTTTAATGCTGGTGTGTACAAGAGCTCTCTTCATTCCAGCACCAGCATGTACCTGGGCCAGGCCATGGGGTTACTAACTTGCAGAATTTAGACATAAATCTTAAATACCTCGTTAGAACAGTAATGCTGCCTTCCTCTTCTACACTGCTTACTTTCCATCATCCAAGAGATGCTGGAAAACCCAGATAAAACGGCTATTGGGGAACTCACTGGGGAGAAGGCCACACGACTGGACATGGTGTCAGCCTGGATTTAGCCTGGCAGATGTGAAGAGGAAGCCAATAAGCCCCATGAGACCCAAGCTAACGCCTGCAGAGCCATCCAGACCTGTGCACCGAGCCGTCCCGGGCTCCGTGGTGGGAGGAGGCTTGTTTGTTTTGGCGTAGCTTCAGACCCAAATTATCTCTGTGATTTCACACTGGCATTACCGTGAGGTAGGGAACTTTTGGTGACCTTGAGCCCAGGGGAATGCAGTGCAGAAATATTTCAGTGGAAATTAGCTCAGGTCAGGCAAGAACAGAATGTGTCCAAAGAAGGGCAACAAAGTTGGTGAAGGGCCTAGAGCACAGGTCTTATGAGGAGGAGCTGAGGAAACTGGGGATGTTCAGCCTGGAGAAAAGGAGTCTCAGGGGAGACCTTCTCACCCTCTACAACTCTCTGAAAGGAGGCTGTGGCGAGGTGGGAGTCAGTCTCTTCTCCCAGGTAGCAAGTGATAGAACAAGAGAAAATGGCCTCAAGTTGTGCCAGGAGAGCTTAAGTTTGGGTATTAGGAAAAATTTCTTCACGGAAAGGTTGTGAAGCACTGGAGCTGGTTGAGGGAGGTGGTTGAATCACCATCCCTGGAGGTATTTAAAAGCCATGTAAATGCAGTGCTCAGGGATCTGGTTTAGTGATGGACTTGGCAGTGCTAAGTAATGGTCAAACTTGATAGTCTTAAAAGGTCTTTTCCAACCCAAACGATTCTATGGTTCTGTGATGCAGCCAAATGCCAAAATGCCTCCAGGCTGCCCTGGAAGTGGAAATGCTGTGTTTATAGGGTGCTGTTCTTCAAACAGAAGCATGGCCAGATGTGGGTGACTAGCTCTGGCACCTCTGTACCCATGGCAGGGTTCATCTGCAAGCTGAGAGCAATGGATATAAACAACAACTGACTGCAGCCCTTCCCACTGTTAGATCCAAAAGTGTTCTCCCCAGCAGGCTGCTGGTTTTACTCTGCTCTGCAAACAGAGATGCTGAGACACACAGATGACAAGTAACGCACAGGTTGGAGGGTGGCCAGAGGGACAGACCAGGAGTCCCAGTGCATCCCCCCCTCCCAGGGCATGCTGTACTGGGCAGAAGCCATGAGCCTTCTGGCAGCAAAATGCCCCTTAGCTCCCACCTGTCTTTCATATTTGTGACTGGCTCCTAGAGCAGTTTTTCTGTAAAAACTCCAGCATGGATTGAGGTCCTGCAGTAAACAGAGCCCAAGAAGGGAATCACGGCCGTTGTGCTGAAGGGTTTACAAAGTCAGCCCCAGACAGGACAAGAGAGGGAGCCACGCAAGACAAGCACAGCCACACAGGCAGCACTCACCCGGGGGGACACAAGTAGCTTCACTGCCATCATGTTTTTCCTTTAGGTAAAAAAGATGGCCCAGAACTGGTTTTATGGGAGCTCTTCCCACATCAGTTTGCTAGAATGTTTGACAAGTTATTTTCTAGCTTTTAGGTTGATTAACTTAGCTCTTAATTTCATGCTGAAGTTTTACAATGGAGAAATTAAATGTTTACTACATTTCATTATATAAATCCCAGTACTAAATTAAATGAAAATGCATCTTAAACTTGAAATATCACTCTTTCATTCAGTCATACCAAGGAAATCAGCAACCTGGCATCTAGACACATCCCTTAATTTTATTTCCTTTCTTCCACAACCACCACATTACTTTTTTAGAATTATTGCTGAAAAGCATGAACATGTGTACTACCATATGGGCTGCCAAAGGCTTTGAAAGGACTTTCTGTCTGTCAGAAAAGATTCTCCATCCATTGTCTATGTAAAAATGTTACCATTCTCTTTCTAATCACTAACTTATTTTAAAGATACTATCAGACTTCGGAGAACAGTCTGAACAAGGAAATAGGTCAGTATACATAAACAAGCAGCTTTCAGAAACATTTTTTTGCAGCTTGTCCTGTACCTGCAGATGCCTCTTGTGAATTCTGCTGTCACCCTTGCTGGGCATGAGACTGGGCTCCTATTTAGCTCAGGAATGTGGTACAAGCCATGGAGGTACAGCAGTGAGTGAGCACTTTGCTCTGGCACACCTAAATGGTGAATGCAGTTTTATTCTTGAATGCCTTCTCGAAGTTTATCTGACACTCATGTCCAGCCTGCTATAGGGTGCAGATTCAGGAATGCAGATCCTCTGCAGCACCCTCCAGATTTCTGGATCCACATGGGGACTCTTCAGTTAAATTCAGTAGTTTTAAGGATTCCTGGTTACTTGCTTCTTAGAGGAGACCAGATTTTGGAGGCAGAGAATTGAGCATAGAGATGTTTGAATACAGAAACGAGGAGCAGCTGGCTCCCTGGGACTTGTTCCAGGAAGAGGGACAGCAGAGAAAACAGCCGAAGGAATGCAGGAAGCATCGAGGCTGGCATTGCTGGAGGAGTGGAGAGAGCCAGGAGCTGCAATTTAAGCCATCATACAATTGCGTGGGCCTTCATGCAAAGACAGGATTCAAACAGAGAGGAGACAGTTAAGACATCTGAAGATTAGCAAATATGCCAATGGCTTCATAGAGGATGGAAAGAGGGTCCCAGACCAGAGGAATATCCTTTAGGTTAGTTTAGAACTGATTTATGGCAACATAAATGCCTGTGTTTGTAAACTGGCGTGTTTGCAAGTGGAACAACTCACCCTTGATGAAAAGATGCCTCAGCAGCAGCAGCAGAGTTAGGCTGGCTTTCCTGCCTGGGCATTGTCCCTTCAAACACTAGTCTCAGATTCTGCTTTTACATCGTGGCTTAACCTGTCTTTTCCAGGAAGGAAACCACTTTCAAATCAGTTTAAACAAGGCCCAGATAATACTGAATATTAGGGGACTGACAAAGAGCAAAGCAAGGAAAACACTATCTCCAAGTGTAAGAGGAGCCCAGTTCAAGAGAGTTGTTCTCTGCAGGGTTTGGGAATAAATAAACCCCAGCTGTTTCACTGACCTTCCTGGACACTGATGCTTTCCTCCTCCGAATGCCACAAAGCTGTCCAAGAAAGCATTCTTCTCTAAATTTGCCTCTTTCCAACGATCCTGTGGGAAGAAACATTTTTTTTTTCCAAATCAGCTTGTATAAATAAAGCTTAACTTTATTTCTGCAGGCTAAAAATGACCTTGGACAGCTAATCCCCAATACAAAGTTGCACTAATGCCATTTTTTTTGCATTCAACCTGTTAGTTTTAAGAGTCTGGATTCAAAAAAAAGCACTGACTCAGGGAAAGAAAAGAGGGTCCCATTTGGAGCATACTTAGGTGCCCCAATGTGCTGGAGAGGTTTCCAAAGTCACCCCCAAAGCATTCTCCCTATACCTCCTCATTTTTCTAAATCCCACATGCTAAGCTGTTGAAATGCCCATAAAAATCCAACCCCCTCCTCTTAAATATATGCCCATCCAAAGCAAATGTTCAACCAGTACCCCCCCAGCCACAGAATGGTCTCACAGCACACAAATGGCTGGTGCACATCTTGCCCACAAGCCATTTCTGAGGCACTGTGTGCAGACAGATGCAGAGTGTGGGCTGTCCCAGGAGGGAAAGGCAAGGACTGCACAGCCCCTTCTCAGGTGCCAGCCAGCCTGTGAGCAAACCAACAGACCACACCAGGCTCCAGAGACTCAGTGCAACTCTACCAAAGCCTTCAAGTAATACCCTGTAAAGGTTTGGGTGGCTAACTCCTCTGATGAAGCTGTCTTAGAGAAGGTGTAATCTTGTGTTTGTTTATTTTGGTTGGTTTTTTTTTTTTTTTTTTTTTTTTTAAGCTAGGGCTGTTTAGAGCTCTCTGAACAGGAAACCTGTTAGCATCAAAAAACAAATAAAAGCAAGAAAAAAAACCCTCAGTGGTGATGATGCAGGGTGTCACATTAGGAATGGCAATGTCCACAGGGTACTCACCTAGTCCTCATGGAAAAAGGGCGAGTTTCAAAAAAACAGGCCAGTTTGCTTTTAAGGAATGAATTTACTAAAGAAATGAGCTGCTGCATCACGGTTTTTGCTTTAAAGTTTCAAACAGGCAGGGATTGCTGTCAGGAATTTCAAATTGGTGAGTTTTTTTCCCTTTGCTAGATGGGAAGCTTTGTTTAAATTCCTTCTTGATAAATTTCTATAAAAAAGTCAAACTGTTCTGTAGCGGATGGTGCTAAAAGAGCAGTTACATGCCTGCCCACACGGCCACCTGGAGTGGGATAATAATCGAGAAACTCTAGATGAGCTACTGAATTAGCAGACTTAATATCTACCAGAAATCATCTGACTGGTGGAGATGAGCTATACAGGCAGATCACAGGCAGAGGACGGTACTTGGACTTGGGTTCAACAGTGAAATTAGTAGAGTCTTGCCATGCTGGGCTGTGACTCAAGAACGAAGTGATATAAAGTAGCACCATATTATCTGAACATGTAATTCAACTTTAAAGTCTTGCTTGTCCCTGCAGAGTCCTCCTTTCTGTGTACATCTTTTCTGTGCACAAGGCTAGCCTCCAGACAATGGGGAATACCCAACATTAAGCCAATTTGTCCATATATTTTTGTTGTGAAATAAGTGAAGAGAAGAAAAGGCAGCAAAATATACACACTAAGAGTGACAGCTTACAGGTTTGAACGTTTCTGGCTCAGGAAAATATTTTGGATTCCTGTGTAACCAATATGGTGACAACATCAGCATGTCACCTGCAGGGATGGTGAAATTCTGAAAAGGAGAAAAAACTCTAAGAAAAGAGAAAATCACAGGTTCAAGTCACAAAACAGTCCCTCCTTAGTACTTCTCTTCCCTCAGCAGAAGGTCCTAACAGAGGACAAGCGAGGGTGGTGAAGCCATGGTAGGCATATTACATGTCTCAAGCTTCTTCCTGTTGCCCATTTTTCCATAAGTAAGACCAAAACAGTAGAGAACATGGCAAAACTTATTTTGTTCTACTTTGTTTTTTCAGGTACAGAAACAATAGAAATATTATTTCTCTTTCCTGCTTCTTGATGTAGCACATTAAATTTTTTTGCCAAGTCTTTTGTTAAGCACTTCCTGCAAAATGTAAAGAAATTAATAAAAAGGCTTCTATGACAGTAGACCTTGCTGGAATTTCAGTAATTTTTTAATTAGACATGAGTGCTGATTCCTTAAGAGAATGTTTTACTCACAAACATTTATTTGTTAGACTGCTGAATCCTGGAACTTCCCTCCTGAGAGGCAGTGAAGAAGACAAATAGAAAAGGAGTTTTATCAGTTACTAAATCATGGTCCCTTCTCCTATATTTGTTGCATCTAATTACTATTTCATACACCATCAGCATAGTATCTCCAGCTCAATTCAGTCCAACCCAAAACAAAATCAAAATTGAAGGTAAGACTGTGAGCAAGAAAAGCAAAACCACTCTTAAATTAATGATGAATAAACCTATTAAAGCTAAACAGAATGTTTAGATTGTGGAATATCTCTACTATTTTAATTTTATGCAGATCTTTTGGGTGGCCCCTTTGCAGACAAATCATACAGCATCCTTTTTGGGAAACAAACAGACAAACAAACAAACAACAGAACTCACCTGAATTTTGATTGGGTTTACTACTTTCTTGGTGATGGCACCTGGAGACCTCAGCCGTATGGCTTCCAAAGTGCACCATTTAATAAAAAGGAGCTTCTTAAGGTCCTCTTCAGAGACTTCTATTTTATCCTTACCTGTTGTGGCACAAGAAAGAAGACTATGTAAAAATTAGATTTCATACTTGTATTGATACTTGCTGATGTGTCTTGCTTTAGATCTTCTGATAGACTACCTCAAGAGTTTAAGACCTTGTTTAGACGCAGAAATCTTCTTTATATTTCAAAGTAGGTAAATGGACTAAATTTAGTCCAATTTAAGAAAAGCTGCTGAAGAAAATATAGTAACTCTAAGGTAGGTGTAGATATGGTGTTGGCCAGAAGAAGCCAAACAAAGGTCATCTTGCAAGTTAAAAGTCCCTGAACTTTTTCAGTACTTTGGTAGGACACTGCATGGAGATCTCAGGGACTGTAGGCACCAAGACAAGAAGCCATGGTTGAGCTCTTGGGCTATGTTAATGCTAGCAAATGAAACAGGGCCCAGAGAAAGGTTTAAGCACTGCTTCTTGATTTTCCTTATTGGTTAATAATTGACATGTTCCTTGATGTGGATTTGACCCATGACAACTAAAAGTCTTCCATGAAAGTCTAAGCACTGTTCAGGGGACCACATATGTGAATGCCTGCTCCCAGGGGGTGACTGGTTTTGTAAGGGAAGAGATTTTCCATGTGAAGGTGATTCATGTTGGACAAATTGGCCTCAGATAAGAGAAAAAAAGAACAATTCCTGGCCTGTTTTTTTTTTCTACAGAGTAGTTGTAACTGGTGAACATCACACCATGAAAAGCAGCTGAATTAAAAGACCTTATCTGACCCTATCACAGGTGTATGAAAAAAACACAAGACTGGTTAATACAAATTAGGTCTAAATCACATGTGTGGAATGAAGAGACACACGGTTCTTATTCTGCCTTCTTTTGCTAAAAGTGGCTTTGCTGACAAATAAGTCTTCAGCATATGCTGAGTAAAAGAACCCAAGCCATCCCAGCCATTGACCAAGTGTGCTGAGCCAGCACACACCAAATAATTTCTAGGTTCCAGAAGGACACGACTGGATTTATTACCTGCTTTGCCAAAAACAGTAGCCAGGTCTTCCATGATTTTCTTGTGAATCGAAGGATAAGAGAGTATGAAAACAAGGGTCCAAAATGTAATCTAGACAGAGATGAAAGTACTTTAACTCAGGAATATGGAGCAGAATTACAGTATCTTTGTAGCAAAACACAGAGGCATGTGAAAACACTTGCACCTTTTTCCTATGTGCCTGTTGTAGCTGGGATGCACAGGGAGCTGTACTTCCTGGATAAAGCCACATCCCTGGGCTCAGATCCTGGGAGATTATGTCTAGTCATCTGCTGTGTACTTATCCTCAGTGAACATTATATAGCTTTGCCTTTGAGCTTTGAAACAGAGAATCCTTTCTTTAATTCCAAATAACTAGGTGTTAAAATGAATTACTGATTCATTGTGTGTGATTAGTTTTAGCTGCATGAATGGAAAAAAATTAAATGGTAAATTCCTACTCATATTAGCAGAAATGGGGTTCAATCATTTGCAGGACATTGTCACAGTGAGTCACACTAAAATGGGCAGGAAAAGTTTTAATTAACAGCAAAACAAGCAGTAGTATATCTCCTTTAGAAATAATTTGCTAACTGGTTATGCAATGAAGTTGAAATCAAGAAATTTAGGAAGGGAGAAAATCCTCTTAAGTGGGATGGAACCCAAGGACTCGCAGCACTGCCAGGAGCCTCTCCTCCCGCTGAGCTGGCGGGGGAAGCCGTCGGCACGGAGCTGGTCGTGGGCCATCTGTGCTGGTGAGGGATGAGAACTCTCACTGTTATTTCCCAAACAGCCTCACATGGATGCAGCCCTCCCTCTGCGAAACAAATCTGGGAGCTTAGTTTGCTTGTACAGCACTTAGACACTGTGGCTTCCACGGGCTAAGGAGGGGTAACTGAATTGTTTCAGATAAAAGGGTTTAACACGCTTGTAAAAAATCCCCTTGGAAGGTGAAAGGCCTTTTTTCATCATTCCAGTCACCAGAACAGTGGTTGTGACTATTCTGAGAAACCACAAAATATTTGTATGTCTATTTGCAGCTGAATATTACAGAAGTAAGTACTGATAGTGCTGTGGAAAGAATGTCAGTGATCCTGATAACAGGCAGCAGGCTATGCTTCTCACTTATACCAACATCCGAATCCACAGAAACCTCACTGAAATGGATGAAATTCCTTTAGGGGAAATTGTATTAATACCCAATCTACAAAAAAACACAGATATATCCATTAGGAGTACATATAAAAATAACTCACTGTCATTTTTTTCTAACTCACATCTGTAACAGTCATAACTGTGCTGGAAAGAGCTTAGTAGTCATGGTAAATAAGAGATGTTTGTGCTGCTATGGATTTTTCATCTGAGAAATTCCTATAAATGTCTTTGGTCAGTCCAAGCTGTGTTAGATATATTGGGTTTGTTAGCTTGCTTATATCTGTATCATTAATCCGTCAAATCTGTTCCTAACACAGCCCAAACTTCAGTGGTGGAGGAACCAAACTACTGCTCTTCCTCCCCTGCAGCAGCACTGGCATTTGGACAGCAGATCCCCCAAAGTGAAAGAGCCAAATTCACTCAAGGATTTACACACAGATGAAGTTACGACAAACTGAGAGAGTTGGGGCTATTCAGTCTGGAAGAGAAGGCTCCGAGGTGACCTTATTGTGGCCTTCCAGTACCTTAGGGGGGCCTACAAGAAAGCTGGGGAGGGACTTTTTAGGCTATTGGGTAACGACAGGACTAGGGGGAATGGGGCAAAGCTGGCAGTGGGCAGATTCAGGCTGGATGTGAGGAAGAAGTGCTTCCCCATGAGAGTGGTGAGACCCTGGAATGGGTTGCCCAGGGAGGTGGTTGAGGCCCCATCCCTGGGGGTCTTTAAGGCCAGGCTGGATGAGGCTCTGGGCAGCCTGATCTAGTGGGAGGTGTCCCTGCTCATGGCAGAGGGGGTGGAACTGGGGGATCTTTGGGGTCCCTTCCAACCCTGACAGATTCTGATCTGTTTTAGCAGAGGACTTTAGAGCCCTAATGGCTCAATGGTTGGACTTGATGATCTTAAAGGTCTCTTCCAACCTAAAGGATTCTATGATTCTATACTCTACATTATGCCTTTGGTATTCTTTACAATTGGTAACACCGGGGTATTTAAAATTAAACCTCTACTATAATACAGCCCCAAGGCATCAGAATAGAGGTAAATGCTCTTCACAGCTTAAGACTGTGATCTTAATAGCAGTGAGACATATGTTCCCAAAATGTTATGATAGGGGACATCGTAATTTAGGGAAACTACAGGAAGAGCTTTTCTTGTCATTGCTTCTGTGACATTGCAGCCTGGGTATATTTGTAGTGCTGCACGTGGGCGTGATAATCCCTTCTTTGGAGTACATGCAGGGTGTGTGGCTGCTGGTTCAAAGCCTTTGCTTCCCAAGTACAGGCTTTTGAGCAGCACAGAGAGAAGGTGTTTCTCCAGCTGATGTACTTACAGGAACAGAATTTGCTTGGGAAGCCCAGAGCATTAGGACACCATAATTGGGAGCTAGATGTTTTCCTTGCAGGTTATCCAGGAGATGTTGCAGTAGTGTCTGTTATAAATAAAAGATAGTAATGTGTATTTCCAAAAATATATTAGAATCTAGTTTAGGGTAGGGCTTACTAGAATTCAATGATATAATGTAAGACTAGTTTATCAAGGAGAAGAAATGTTACTTAAGGGTTTCTTGCAGTCACAAAGTAGAGGTGACAGCTGGTAAGAGAAAGTGAGACTCACTCACAGGCAGAGGGCCAGAATATTCCTCCTGAATATTTGCACTGCCCTCCATTTTCTTAAAGTTTCTAGGAGATTTGGTTCCCTCATTCCTCACTGTTGCTTTTATGTTGAAGAAAGGAAAAAAGAATTCTCTATTCTTTTTTAATTCCTGCTCTACTTCTCTACTTTAAAGAAGCTGAATATGAGACTGAACGAGTTGAATGAACGGAAATGAAGAAAATGTTCTCTCTGTTCCTGCCAAAACGGTGCTTGTTATGAAGAGATGGGCTGATATATCAGCAAACTCCCTACTTCCAGGTGCTTTGCTAGCGACCTAACCAGTGACTAATGGCTTGATATTCTTTGAAACTATAGCAACTGCCTAATGTTCTAGGATCAGCTTTGGTTTACAGTATTTCCTTAAATACAGGGCAACCTTGCATTCAAGGCAAAGCTTCCTGTCCACTTTTCAGAGGGGAAAAAGCTGACCTTGAATAAAAAAATGACTGCTCTTTTTTTCCAAATTCCCACCCAGTCTAAGACACTGAGTTTGTGCCTCCTATTTCCTGCACCTTCTTACCTCCCACCACCCCCTCTCCAGCCCTCCCTTTCTTTCCATTATTCTGGTTTATTTTATGAAAGAAATTGTGGTATGTAAAGCTTTTACAGTCTAAATAAAACCTGTTTTGTTTAATGATCTGTTCTATAATAATTTGGTAGATCAAAATTCCCAGGCCAGTCTGCCCTCGTGTTTGTAAGCTGTACAGACAGAATTCCTGCAATAGCCAAGGAGAATAACCAGGGGGATAACTTATCACAGCTTTGACACAATCAATATTTAGGGTACTTGGCTTCCAATCCAGTAATCTGCTATTTTCTGCTAGCCTGGCTGCTGGAGGATCTACTCACTCTACACCAGGGTTTAAAAATAGTACATGTAAGGTTTTGAAATGTCGCAGCATGGTGCCCTCAGAGAACAACTGAAGAGATCTTTCTCTCACCTCTTTCAACTGCTCACTCCAGCCACGATACCAGAGGCTGGCCATGGGCCATTGCTCCAAACCCTTGGCTTTGAACTCCCCAGAGGGAGATGTCAGTTCTCAGAATTGTAGGAAATAAAGTAAATTGGGGAGTAGAACTTGAAATTCTGGGTTTGTCCTAATGTAGGTGTCAGCAATACTGGACAATTAAGGTACAGCTTTGAAAGCTGACATATTTGGCTTATTTCTTCCAGTACTGAAGTGATTCCTGCCCTCCATTCCTTCAGTCAGAACATACATCTTAATTCATAGCCTCAGATGTTTACCTTGGATGCGGTGTCTGAAGGGTTGGTTCTTTCAGCATCCAACACAACTTTCTCAAATAATTTTAGAAGCCATTTTTTGGATTTAGACCAGTTCCTGTAAAGAAATGCAACAAACAAGAAGCACTTAACTGAGGCAGCACAAATCAACATTTCCTTTTCCATGAGAAGGATTCCTTGGTTTCTTTCCAAAATCCCCTGGGCAGCAGTCAGTTGATGAATAGTCAAGTGTGAGTCTGACTGACAACAGTGTTGACTGACACAAGGAACAGCATGTCTGAGACCTTCCCCTTGGCCAGACCTCATCTTGCAGCCAGGACCTGTGACTGCAAGACTCCTAGATTTTCATATCTGTTTCACTACAGGTTTTCACTGTGCCTTTGGACAGGTGGCCTCGGCCAATCTTTTCGAGAAAGATCATCCCTAAGAAAATCTAGGCCACATTTGTGTTTTAAATTCTTTCCAAAGGCTATTTTGAGGTGCTTGAGGTGCTATCACAGCCCTGAGAGCACTGACAGGCTCTGCAAGAACTTTTGTCCCTTCTCAGGGTTTGGTTGCCTCTACCCAAGGTCAACTCTGCAACAGTGCAGCCACGTAACCTGGGATCGGTCTCCTGGGAAAAGAGCTACGGTGTGGGAAAGAGCAGAGAGGCTTCACTGGGGACCTGTCAGTGTGGGACTCACATTCAGGCTCAAGCCTTTGCAGTTTGCCCAGTTCTGCTGCTCCCTGACAGGTCCAAGGTGGACCCTGCCCACCTAAGCAAGGTGTTTCTGCTTTGTGCCAGAAAAAAATGTATGAGACAAGGCCAGAAGTTTTTTGAAGCACCTAGCTGAAAGGCTGCCTGACCTGGGGGTGCACCACTGACAAAGACAGCACGTCATTCTCCAGGGGAAATACCTCTTGTGATTAAGATACCAGTTAGCAAAATTCCTGTGATGGGTGCATCACGGGCATCATCTCCACCCCCTTACCTCAGAAAGCACTCGGGCATCTGAGAAGCGTATTCAAAGTCCTCGTCATACTTCTGAAAATGCTCTTCAAACTCCTTGATTTCACTCTCACTTGTCGGGTAGATGCCTTTCCCAAACAGAGTGTTCACCACTGCTGGGTACATGATGCACCTGCAAGGACAGGACCCCCGTAACTTACAGGCCACAGAGAAGCTGTTGCAGCAGTTTTAAGTCAGAATTGCCAACACTAGAAGTGCAGGACTCAGGTGTCAGGCCAGTATGGAAGGGCTGGCGCAAGGCTCATAGCTCACTCACATCCTTGCTGCAGACTTGAAGCAGAGGCTGGGGAATACACAGACCTCAGGCTCATCCTCTCCATGTGGCTGATGTTCATCAGTTAGGGTTTGGTCACTTGAGCAGTGGCAGAAAGGTTCCAGGCACTGAGGTCCTCTTCTCCCCATTAACCACACCTCTTATCTCAGGTTGGCCCACGTGGACCTTTCAGGCATTGCACAACCCCTTCTGCAGCCAGACACCCTGAGAAATCCTTCCTCTGGCTGCAGCTTTGCTGGACTGAATAATGCTTTTTTTTTCTTTTTATCTCACTCCTTGCCTATTTGCTCCTCCGTTATCCTGCAAGCTCTGAGCTTGTTTCCCAGGCCACTTCACCTGTCCTCTCCAGCCCGGAGAAACCCTTATGCCATCTTTGCTGGGGCCCAGCCACTGCTAAACTATTTCAGGCAATGGCTCTTTCACTTTCCTGCTTTCCTACAGATCATAAGGAAGATGGAGCCACCTGCTGGCCCTATGGATTTAATTTTTAGGTAGCTAAATAACAACTAGCCAGGGTGTCCCATTCCAGTTCTTTTACCCTGCCTTGTTTGGCAAAAACATAAGAACAGATCACGTTTCCCCTCAGCCCTCGATGTACTGTGGACGAGATCAGTGGGACTGAGGGCAGGCAGGTTCCAAAGCCCCTTTCCCCCACATTTTTGCCCAGTTAATCCAAATTGCACTAATTGAAGTGGCTCAGTGTTTTAGCTGCAGTAAAAAGCAGCACCTTAGACGTATTATGGAAAAAAAAAAGTCACAAAAAGACAACCTGGATTTGAGGTCTTAGAAATAGGTCCAAATCAAAAGCAGTATACAACTGGTAGTCCTGGTGGACAGGCAAGATACAGGTGTTCTCACAGATGATCAGGAAGAAGGAGGAGTTAAAAGCTTTGTTGTTGTCACATGAAAGCGCCAGTAAAGGGATTTTTTCTTTACATGAAAGATGAAGTTCTGGCAGCAAAGTCAGTTGCAGAGATCTTATTTAAATTTTGGGCTAGCCTTGGCCTAAGAC